CAGCATAATGCTTTCCAGTTCCATCCATGTTGTTGCAAAGGGCAGTAGCTCCTTCTTTCTCTCTGCTGCATAGAATTCCATTGTGTATATGTACCACAATTTTTTGATCCATTCATTTACTGACGGGCACCTAGGTTGCTTCCAACTCTTGGCTATTGTAAATTGTGCTGCTATGATCATTGTGGTGCATAGGTTCTTTGAAATTGATGTTTTTGGATTCTTGGGATATAATCCTAGCAGTGAAATTGCTGGGTCAAAAGGCAGGTCAATTTTTATTTTTCTGAGAAAATTCCATATTGTTTTCCATAATGGTTGTACCAGTCTGTAATCCCACCAACAATGAACTAGGGTCCCCTTTTCCCCACACCCTCTCCAACAATTGTTGTTTGTTGCTTTGTTTATGATAGCCATCCTGACTGGTGTAAAGTGGTATCTCATTGTGGTTTTAATTTGCATCTCTCTGATAGCTAATGATACTAAGTATCTCTTCATGTGTCTCTGGATATTCTGTATGTCCTCTTTTGAGAAGTGTCTGTATAAGTGCTTTTCCCATTTTTTAATTGGGTTAGATGTCTTCCTAGAGTGGAGTCATGTAAGTTCTTTGTATATTTTAGAGATTAAACCTTTGTCTGAGGCATCATTGGCAAATATGTTTTCCCATACAGTTGGTTGTCTTTTTAATTTAATACTGTTTTCTTTAGCCATGCAGAAGCTTTTTATTTTGATGAGATCCCATTTGTTTATTCTTTCCTTTATATTCCTTGCTCTAGGGGACATATCGGTAAAAATGTTGCTGCGTGGAATATCTGAGATTTTCTTGCCAATGTTCTCCTCTAGGACTTTAATGGTGTCACAGCTGATATTTAAGTCTTTTATCCACCTTGAATTTATTTTGGTGTATGGTGTAAGTTGGTGCTCAAGTTTCATTTTTTTTGCACGTAGCTGTCCAGTTCTCCCAACACCATTTGCTGAAGAGGCTATCTTTACTCCATTTTATGTTACTGCCCCCTTTGTCAAATATTAATTGACTGTAGAGAGTTGGGTTGATTTCTGGGCTCTCTGTTCTGTTCCAAGACTAATGTGCTTCTAAAACAGGCCTCCTTCTTTATCTTACAAGAAAATCCTGACCTTTGTTATGTTTTATTATTACTATTACTGCTTCTGCTGCTCTGTTTACTGAGCACTTAATATGTGCCAGGCATTGTTCTAGGTGCTCTAGATATACGAGCAGGTTCAATTCTCATAACAAACCACTGAGTAATGTTCTGTGACCATCTCCAATTAATGGGAAGAAACATGTATGGAGAGGTTAAGCAACTCTCTTAGGGACATAGAGCTAGCAAGTGGCAGAGTCAGAACCCTCTGTCATTTGGTTCCAGGACCCATGCTGCTACCATACTACAATACTACCTGCCACTGGTCTACTACACTGACCTTGCTGTGACAGCGGCTATACCCACATCAGGAAAATAGAGAGTGTCTACAGTCAGACAGGATAAAGAATTGTTTAAAATACAGTATCACACTTATAGTATGGATTTCAATGAACTTTTATTGATTTATAAAATGGAATGTCACTGGTTTCATGTGAAACCTCAATAGCATGAAATATTCCTTGGGTCAACTTTTATGAGCATATTAGAGAAAGGGAGTGATTACCTCCTGTCCACAACTCAGATGCCAATGTACGCGTATGTGCGTACACCACCAAGCACCAGTAACAGAGTGACTCAGTGGCACCATGGGTGCAGAGCACAGCAGAACTGCCAGTATGATCTTGACTTCTTCAGTGCTGATTATTCAGACAACCAGGACTAGTTCATGAATGTTAACTGGATAATCTTGAGATGGCCACGAGTGATGTGGGGCCTAACGTGGTGTTTCAGACAGGAAGTAGATATTAGAAACTGTCACCCATATCTAGACAATCAGAATTATTTATATTAAAAAATAATTTTCAAGGAAACATGACTTGATGTCATTGTTAGAACTCATGGACACTATGTATTTCTTCTAAAATGTTTTACTAGAAAAGAGCCAGGTAATACAAGGCCCAAGTGACTTAAGTATATGTGAACAAGTCAGTGTTATATAAAAAAGATTTACTATAATTGGGTGAATTCATTTAATATATTAAAAACCCTTGAACATATTGAATTAGAAAATAATATCATTCACAGCAATAGTAGTAACAACCACACAACTACTCATATTTCTTGTGCGTGAATCAGGAAAGTGCTTTATGTACATTATCTTATTTAACCCTTACAACTTGTGGGGTGGTCACAATGATTACCTCCACCTCACAGATGAGAAAACAGAGGAAGAGAAAGGACTAGTTGTGGGCCCAAGGTTCCATAACTAGCAGGCCTCACGCATTTGTTCAGTGTTTACCGAGTATACCTGCCATGGGCCTGGCACTGTTCTAATGTGGTCCCAGTGCGAGGAGTGCCCGAGGAAGATTGCAGAGGCCATGTGGCTGCTGCGGGGGAAGAGTGGATGGTCAGAGTTGGAACGCAGATATAGCTGACCCCGGGGCCCACATTTTAACTACCACGCGAACCTGATGGGGCAGCCATGGCACTACCTAACCTACTGTGACCTCGGAGGCACTCTGTATTACACCCATGAAAAAGAGAGCAGTAAACTACTCTAGATGTCCTGCGTGCGGAGTGGAGAGTATGTGAGAAATCCCCGTGTTTTGGGGAGAGGTGCTTTGGAGAATAAAAGTCAGGGAAGAGTGTGTACTATAAATTGGGGAAACTGGGACTATAAATAACTCCCCTGCTCAGAATTTGGTACTGGCTCTCCATTGCCTTCGAGCTTTGGAGAAGTTAAGTAAGTTTCTTTTTTTGTGAGGGGGGAGTTGAACTGCCTGATCTTTTTTATTGTATTTTACTTTTCAATTATAGTTGATATTCAATATTATTTTGCATTAGTTTCAGGTGTACAACATACTTGTTAGACAATCATATACTTTACAAGTATATGATTGCTAATAAAGCAAGTACCCACCTGGCACCATACATAGTTATTACACTATCACTGACTGTATCCCTTGTGCTGTACTTTACATTCCTGTGACTATTTTATTACTACGAATTCGTACTTCTTAATCCCTTCACCCTTTTTACCAGGCCCCCCAATGCACCTACCTTCCTTCTGGCAACCCCCAAACCCCAAGGGAAATAGATCTAGTTCTGAATGGCGATAAAGACTGTTTACAACTGCTAAGCTATGCTACTCTTTTCAGACTGTGAAATCAGTCACATGCTCGCTGGCAACTTATCACCTATACACTGAAGTCGACAAGCCTTGGCAAGGAATGTGGGGCTCTAGCAGAGTAGCTACCACCTTCTCTTTTGCCCTAACTTCTACGGCCCCTCTCCCCTGGTGCCTCAGCATGGAGCAGAGCAGTACTCCTTAGTGTCAGGTACCTAGGACTTTGCACAGTCTGGAACATCCTTCTTCCTCTTGCTTTGTGATGAAGATTTTGTATCTTTCTTAAGGATTTTCTTTACCATTCTTCTTCCCAGATTGAGCTATAACTTCTTCCCTTGGCTCTTTTTGGAATTTATATATCTGTGTACTTGCACGTATTTCTGGTAGAAATCATTCTCTGAGCCTTTGTCCTCCCAGCAGGGATTTGATCTCTGTGCTACCAGATAAATCTGTGCAAGCACTGATCGTGCCTCTTATCACACCTTTTGGGGTAATTTCTTTGCTTATACTCTGCTTCTTCCTATTAGTCATTGAAAGCTTATACCTTTTTTAATCTATATCCCAACCATTGAGAATAGGACTTGTAGTTTACCTGCTTATTTAAATTAAACATAGACAATTGGATGTAGAGCTGTAATGACAGTTTTTATTAGATTGAAACAAGTGGAATATGTTGAGCGGTGATGTTAATTACTCAGAAAAAAGATGATAATAAAACAACTACTCTTTAATGAAAAATTAGGATGTGTCAGACATTAAACTCAGTGCTGAAGGATATCATTATTATTCCAATTATTCCAAGTCAAATTTGAACTTGAAAGATATACCTTATTAGGTATACCTTTAAAGCTAAATCAATATTTTATTAGATACAACTTTTAAAACTAAATTTTAAAAATGCATTCATTTTCAAACTAGTTAGTAAGAGATGTTAGTGGAACTCTAAGTGAAAGAAAAGTCTTTGGAAAGGGACAGAAGTCATCTCTGTTTCTCTATACTCAGTTTCTAAAGCATTACTACAACTGTGTATACTTGGCTACATGTAGAGGTCTTCCGGAAAGAACACTGCACTCATTTATGATTTAAGCATGGCCTGCGGGGTGAGACAGTGGGCTGTTGGGCAAGTGAGCCCAGATGGGCCCTGCACAACGCAGTGCTTCGCTCTGCTGTCAATGGTTGATTGTACGGGCTTCAGTGGGTGCCATCCTTCCAACCTGAGGCCCAGAGAGCGGCACTTAAGGCCTTGGTTACTTAGCCTAATTCTTGATTTTCATTCAGTAGAAAACCTGCTCATTAAGAATTCTACTGAGTGATTTTCAAACAGTAATTCTCATTGCTAATTGCTTTGGGTTTTCCAGACAAGTATGTTATCTCAAACTGATGTGCTTATAATCACCGATAAATCACTTTTTCGACATGTATTGATTTTGGCATACATAACATTTATATGTTAGTGTGGCAATGTTGAACAACAAAATATTTTAATGCAAAATCTAAAAAAAAAAAGGTGTCATATAGCTTTCCCCACTTCTCAAAGCACAATATAGATTTTCTTCCTTTTTGGGGCGGGGGCTTGATTTTATTGTCTCTTTAATTTCTCAATATTTTGTGCTGATTAAAATGGATTAAATAGTCTCTTTTAATCCTACTGCTTAGAATTTCTCAGTAGGAAAGACTCTATTAGTGCTCAAAAAGATGTTTAGGAAATGATGTTGCTTTCAACCCCTTCCATCAGTCGGTGGAGATTTACTCTAAAGCTCTCTGTGGTTTTGTTTCAGTGATGCCGCAGCCAGAGCCCTGTGGGAAGCCTTACTGAACACCAAGCACAAAGAGGCAGTGATGGAGGTCCGGAGACATCTAGTGGAAGCAGCAAGCAGAGAAAACCTGCCAATCAAGATGAGTATGGGTGAGTGTGCTCACTTCAACCCAGGACAGACAGAGACCGCAGGCTCCTAGGGAGTTCACTTCCGCCTGCTCTGACCGGAAGCCCACATAGCCAGCATGGCATGTAGGTACAAGTATTGACAAATTTGTAAACTGTTGAAAGAGTAGGGAGGGAATGTGTATGCTTTGTCTTTGTGGTTCAACGATGACCCCTTTTCTTAGGTTCAATTTTGAGAACTCTAGGAGAGTCTTTGCATACAAAGAATGATTCTTTTATTTTTTTTAGTTGATCTAGAACTATCAGAATTAGACTTGACCACCTTCCCTTCATTCTGTTCCACCCCTCTGCCCCCTCCCCTTTTTCTTTCTCCCTCCGTATTAATGTGGATGACAACTCTTTACTGGTTTTGAATCGATGAATAAGCTACTGTGCTGGCAAAACGAAGAGCAAATAGATGTGCTTGGCCTGGCCCCTCACCTTTAGAGGGTTTGCGAATTGTCCAGTCATGTAAATGTTAGCCCTTCTTCACCAGGGTATTACACGTCTCATTTTTCTTATTTCTTTTTTTCCCCCCACATTCAGCTTTGTCTTTAGTCTTAGAAGAATCTGGCTGAAATGGAATTTAAGTTTTAAATAGCTTTTTTTTGTTTTGATTAAAAGGTCAGAGAACTAATTTTTTGATTTTAGAAAAGGAATTTGTTGTTTTTCTTTTTTATTAAATAATTCTATTAATATGGAAGTACTTAAATATAGATATTGAATTTGATTAATAGAATTTATTTCTGGAAACTATATTTTAACAATGTTTTCTTATTTACAGTCTTCTTTTGGATAGCCAACAAATGTTAGCACATTTTCTTGGAAGGAAATTTTTTTTTGCTGAGATTCCTTGCCCAGGTGCTTAATTACTTATGAGTACAAAAATCAAAGTATCAAATTGAAATAGAAGAACAAAACTTTGGAAGTAAAGGAATGTGGATGAATCTAGAGGAAAAATGTGACTATCTATACGAGGGTTTAAGGAACATAATAATGGTCAAAAAGTGACAAGAACATTTATTGAGTATTTACAATGTGCTAGGTTGTCTTCTGATTCTTTACATGTGCTGTCTTATTTAATTTTTGCAGTAATTCTGGTGACATAGGTACCATTACTATCCTATCCTATTTTTCAGATAACGAAACTGGAACACAGAAAATTAAGTTGTCTAAGTCCTTACATATGACAAGGAATAGGACTGAAATCAAACCCAAACATTCTAATGAAAGAGAATGTGCTCTTTATTTGTAAAATCATCCTCATTCCATATACCCAGTGCCAAAGTCCTACTGATGTGTTAGGGAAGAAATAAAGCTGTTACTTAGAGACCATTCTACCATTTGACTGTTAGTTCTAGTGTCTTTGGACTTGACTAATTCCTTCCTTCCTTCCTTCCTTCCTTCCTTCCTTCCTTCCTTCCTTCCTTCCTTCCTTCCTTCCTTCCTTCCTTCCTTCCTTCCTTTATCTTTGTTTTTGCTTCCCTTCTCTCTCTCTCTTTAAATTTCCACAGTTCTGGGTACACAGTCAGAACAAGTATGTTTACTTTGTGGAGTTCCTTATCCATGATTGCATGAATCAAGAAGTAGTTCATGTTGTCAATTAAAAAAGTAGAAATGCACAAAGGGTCTTGGTGATAAGGTTAATTTATATTCTGCTGCAGGGATATAATCTTGTGATGCTATCACAGAGCATAAATCAATTTTCAGTATTTAATCTAGGACTGAAAGATCAACACACTTTACGTTTGTAAAGGGCTGTATCTTTTAAAAATAATCAAAACAAGAGGGGGAAATGAGTAAGTTCATAAGGATTCAAATTTAAATGTTTGATATTTTTGTCAACTAAAAAATATTTAGATACAATATTTAGATTTGCTTTATCCCCAGAACTCCAGACATGGGGGAGGATGGGGAGAGAAAATAAACAGATAATTGTTAGCAAACTTAAAAAAAAAGATTTTATTTATTTATTTTTAGAGATAAGGGAAGGGAGGGAGAAAGAGAGGGAGAGAAATAGCAACGTGTGAGAGACACAGCCATTGGTTGCCTCTCACACTCCTCAGCCGGGGACCTGGCCTGCAGCTCAAGCGTGTGTCCTGAGTGGAACTCAGGGCACCAGACCAGTGATGTTTTGGTTTGCAGGATGATGCCCAAAACACTGAGCCACACCAGTCAGGGCTGTTAGCACACTTCTGTTGTAAAAGGGCCAGAAAGATTGGCTTAAGTCATACTTTATCCAGGGCTAACTATTTACAATTTAAGAAAAGAAACACAGTGTGACTACACATTTCTGTTTCATATCACTAATTAGTAGTCAGAATTCCTCATGTGTTTCATGTCTATATACCAACAGATATATGTCACCATCAACAATAAGGAAAAGAACTGGAATTTAAACATAATAAACCATTGGTATTTGAAAACTGTTTATCATATAGCTTATCATTTAAAAAAGTCATGCTCTGTATACTACATGGCTGGAATGCTTTCTCTAGCAGCATTTAAAATTATGAAATGTTCTTATTTTAAAATATATGTTATTAATAATGCTATTACAGGTGTCCCATTCCCCCCCCCCTTATTCCCCTCCACCTGAACCTCCCCACCTACATTCCTCCCCTTAGTTCATGTTCATGGGTCATACATATAAATTCTTTGGCTTCTCCATTTCCTATACTATTCTTAACCTCCCCCTGTGTATTTTGTACCTACCATTTATGCTACTAATTCCCTTTACATTTTCCTCCCTCTGCCTTCCCCATCCGCGCTGATAAGAAATGTTCTTTAAGCTATACACTGTTCTCCAAACCCCTCCTGTAAATTCTACTGAAGTATAAATTTTTTCTGATTGTAATAGAGGCTTCTAGTATTTTTTAGACATAAACAGATTATAATTCTAGTTGAGGATCCTCTAGTATTTAAATTTACTGAGAGGGATCCCATGACTAAAACCTCAGATCTTAAATATGAAAATTTTCAATGCAAGGTAATATTAAAACATATGAGCACCAGGAGAAATAAGCATCATTCTCTTAAAGAAAATGGTTTAATTGCTAAAACAAACCTAAGAATTTTTGTTTATGTGGGTTCTATCTATTGCTATCTGTGGGACAGATACGTAGGTATGTAGGTAGATAGGAAATATCACATTACAAATTCAAGGAGAGAAAAATTTTAAATAATTTCTTAAGTAATAAAATAAACTTGTTACATGTTAATATGAATAACATGTTTTTGTAAAAAGTAACTATTTTCTAAAACAAAATAAGTCAGAATACAGTTTTATAGTTTTTCACATCTTTAATGTCTGGCTTAGTAGAAGATAGCTATATCTCATATCTGCTTCTTTATTCAACATGTTGCAGTGTATTATTTTGGATAAAGTATATAAAGAAAATCCGGTCTCACAAATATATGTAGTTTGAAAGGAAGGAATGTTTTAATAACCTTTCAGAAAACTGCAGATATTTTTCTTTGATACAATGCCAGCTTTCCAGGAGGTGGTTTCCTGTAGGTTAATTGTAATGTAGAATGTGAATCCATATCATTAAATTCTCTGTACTCTGTTATGTTAAAACCCATTGGTCTCTTGCATTTTGAACAGATCTTTTGCACATGCATTATTTTATACTGTTGGGCATTAGGCACTTGGGGAAGCCAGTTCTCCGAATTGTACACATCTTCCATATGGTGACACGTATTATACAACACAACAAAACCACATTTGTTGCCATCCCCACTGATATCAGTAGAAAATCTTTAAATATTGGGAATGTAAAGCTATAGGGCAGTTACAACTTTCCCAGAATTATTTTCACACAAAAACTTGACTTTCATCACTGACAATGCAAGCTGACAGTTGTTTTCCTTGAAGTGAAGGCTCATTTCATTCACTTTTTGGAAAAATGTGTGAAGAACCAGTTTTTCAGCTTTTTTCTCCCCCTGTAAAAATGTTGTGCCATTAAAACAGTGTGAACAGGCCTGGCTTGTGTGGCTCAGTGAATTGAGTGCCAGCCTGTAGACTGAAAGGTCACTGGTTCGATTCCCAGTCAGGGCACATGCCTGGGTTGCGGACCAGGTCCCCCGCTGGGATTGTAAGAGAGGCAACCAATCATTGTTTCTCTCCCTCTCTTTCTCTCTCCTTTCCCTTCTCTCTAAAAATAAATAAATAAAATAATTTTAAAAATCAGTGTGAACAGTTCAGTTTACAACTCAAATAATCACACCAGTGCTTTTCCTCAAGCCAATCATTGTACTCAGGTATGCACCAGAGGTACTTTTTGTATAGTTCTCATTCCTTTACACAGAATGTTGACATTTTCCCATGGGTTGAGATTTGATGACATTAATACCATCTACAATTTCCCCACGGCTGATCCAAAATGAAGTTGTCTAATTTAATTTGGGGCCACTGCCTTGATTGGGGCCAAGGCGTCAGCACTTTTACTCACCATTGTTTTTGTACCAATTGCAAACACAGCACAGTAGCAAAATCATGTCACATCTTAGTATTATTGTGAAAATAGATCTGACTTTTCTGACTACCTGAAAGTGTCTCGGGAACCCTGGGGTCTGTGGAACAGCTTTGAGAACTATTATTTAAGGGCGCCGTATTCTCTGGAGTACAACATCGGCACAATTTCCTGGAGATGGTTTGGCTCATAGTTAGACATCAAAATAGAGGAGGGGAAACCTCACTGAAATTTTTTCTAGACATATCCAGATCTGGAGGTAATAGCAATTATTAGATCCTTGTTGGCAATAAGAAACAAAAAATGTTATCTTGCTTAGAAATGAACAAGTTATTTGAATTTGCTGAATCTGTTTTTCTGTCTACACAATGGGGATTCTAGTACCTGTAAATCTGATAATTAGATGAGATGATTACGTGCATGAAACACAGTGTGAAATTTTAGATGTTATGTAAAAGGAGCATATAGCACAATGAAATTATTTACTGTATTCTGGGCAGATAAAGTACA